AGGAGGTGGCCAGCGTGCAGGGAATTCTGACGGAGGAGCAGTGACCACTGCCTTGGACAAAAGAAAAGGGCCAGGATGCGCTCCCTCCCCTGGAGCCAGAGTTCGCCAGCAGCCCTGCCTTCCCTCCCAGGAAGCCCCTATGACTCCTCCCCACAGAGGCCAAACCAGCGCAGCTGGGCCTTGGTGGCTGCAGCACCACGGAGGGGTGGGGGCCACAGGGCACGTTCCGGGTAAGTTACAGGGAATCTGAGCAAGAGACGGGGGCAAGGGAATGTGTAGCTTTGAGAGGAAGAGACCCAGGAGCCGAGAGGAAGCAGTTCTCGTTGTTCTCATCATACATTTATTGAGTGCTTACTGTGTGCCAGGCGGTAAGCCGGGAGCTAGAAACAGCAAAGGGGCTAGAAACAGCTACCAGGTCATCAGTAACTCTGTACTGACCCCGTTAACACAGGAACAGAGGAGCCCGCGGGGCCTGGCTGGGTCTTTCCAGCAACAGAAAGGGGGGCAAGACCCTCTCCCTCTTCTCCATCCGGTAGAGGCACACAGACAAGCCCCTGCAACTCCTCTAAACACATGTGATCTCATACATCTCACATCTCAACACATGCACGCACACATGCACGCACACACATGCATGAATGCACACACATGCCTACACATGCAGGCACAGCCAAGCAGTTTTACAAGGAGGTGGCATGGAGATGCTATCTACATGCCGTGATCTGAGCGCCCCCAACATAAATCCGTCCGAGCGCCTGCACGTTTACCACTGAGAGATGATCTTGAGAAGCTTTTTGGCCAAGTCTCTTACCAAAATGTGAAAGACACAAACGTGAACAAGGGGACAACTTCTTAAGGCTTTTTGCTTCAAGAGGGCTTCTGAGCGGGGCAGGGGCAGCAGAAACAGACCCCACTTCCTGTCTTGACTGCAAGTCTGTCCTGGCCAGAGCTGCCCAAAGGAGGTGTCCTGCCAAACGGGTAGGGGTAGGGGAGAGGGGGTGCCCTCCTCTCCTGTGCTGTCTGCACTCGTCCACTGCTGCCCCTCGTTAAGTGCCTGTGGAGTGCCAGGCACACTCCTGTGCCAGCGCTTTACCCGTGTGTCCATGTGCCCCGAGCCTCGTCGTGAGGGTCTTCTCTCCGCTTCACGGAGGAAACTGGAGCTCAAGACTTGCCTAAGGTCCCAGAAGTGATGTGGTGGGGCTTCTAGCCTCCGCTCTTCCCCTCGGCACTGGCACCGGCTCCGGGAGATGGAGTCACTCTGGGAAGGGAGGAGGCGGGAGCTGCCAAAGGCCCCAGAGCCGAGGACATGCTGCCTGGAGACCAAGGAACACAGATGGCAGCTCCATGCTGGCGGGGCACCCCATGGGGACGCCGCTTCTCCATCATGACATTCGGGCAGCTCCATCCTCACTCCAGGGCTGGGATGAGTTTGGACACAGGGGCAAACGGGCTCACAGGTCCTATCTGCCCACCCTGCCCCCCAACCTCAGGGAGGTTATGAAAAACCACCCCCTGACTTTGAGGGTCCTGGGCTCCACAGTCTATTTTGGGGGGATATGGGCTGTCACCCTTGAATCGGGCCCCTGGTAATTGGAACAGATAGGGCCCCTCACTGGCCCAAGAGCCCACGAGAACTCCTCATCTTACCCGCCAGAGGGCGCTATTGCGAAACAGCCCCAAAGCTCAACCCTGTTGAGACTTCTCAGAGCTCTCTGGCAGAGCCCCTCACCACAGGGTGCCCGCATGACCCCTCCTCTCATCACAGCCTGACCCCATCTCCCATCACCCACTCCAGTTACACATCTGCTCAAACCCTGCTCCCAAGCTGATATACAAGTATGCTGAAAACTTCACTGGGCTGAGTGTGTTTCTGTTGCTGTCTGAAGCAGCCCTGCACATGTACCCCGATGACTGGATGTCCCCCCCCATTTTCCAGGTCCCGTGGGGCCCAGGGCAGTGTGAGGCCCTCCACACACTGCAAAGCCCAGGGCCAGGATGAGGAGAGATCTCAGCAGAGGTTGTTTGGAGCAGGGTGACACTGGATACAAGAAGGAAAGGAGATGGAGCAAAACAGAAAGGCACCTGCAACCTATGGCCTTCAGGGCTGGGACCGTCCCCGACACAGGTCCAGGCAGCAGGAGCTGCAGGCAGAGGCCAGGAGGTCAGGGGGAACACCTGGACCCGAGTCTAAGGGGACTAGAGAGGAGAGGGGTTCCTGACAACACTTCTGAGACTGAAGCCTGCCCCTTCCTCACTGCCTGGCATCACTGCCTGCTCCTCCCCACCAGGAGCGTGAGGACAAAGGGAGGACGGAGGGCCGTGGCCACGTGGTGCTCCCTGCCTGTGATCAGCCCCTGGTCCTTTCCCGTTCCAGGGCACTCCTCTCAAGGAGACGACACCTTCACTTCAGGGTTGGGGTGATCAGAGAATTGCTCCCTCAAGAACCCATCTGTCTGCAGGGCCAAGATGACTCTGCTGAGCAGAAGCCATCCCGCTCTCAGAGGGTCGCTGGACTCTAATAAGTGGTGCCTGGGTTTGCTTCCCTCGCTCAGACTGTTGCCTCTCAGCGCCCAGAGCCTGGTGGCCCCTGGGGCGACGCTCCAGACGGAGTGCCCTGGTCTCACGGGCTTTCTTTGGTCGCTCCAATGCCGCTAACACCCACAAACAAGTCCCGGCTCTAATCCTGAACAAGTAACTCCACCTCCCCAGGCCTCAATGTTTTAAAACTGTAAGACAGAAATGATAAGATCCATTTATCTTCTGCATGATTCAATGATGATCACCCATCACTTCTGTACAGTCAAGTAGAATGATTGGCGGGTGCGGGTGCAGGTGGTAGCCGACCCAACTGGTACCCTGCTCCCATTTCATACTCCCAATCCCTATGCACTGTTGGCCTTAGGCTGATTTGCCAATGCCTCCTTCTTTCCGCAAAGTGCCCACACCCTGCGGGTGGGGGAGAGGCAGCAGCCCCTCCTTGGGGGGCTCCGGGGACAGCACAGGTCTTGTCTGTAACCTCAGCATGTCTTCCCAGCTGCAAGGGCCCTTTCGAATCAACATTTCCCCAAACTGTACTCCTCTGTCTACGGATCTGAAACTGTGGGTAGGCACCAGGATCACCAGGTGGGGCTTAGCAAAATCTAGGCTCCAGAGTCCCTCTACATTAGGGGTGTCGAACTCAATCAGAGAAGGGGCCAAAATCTAAAATCCAGCCTAAATCTCGGGCCGAATGGTTTACTGAACAGTCATAAACTGTCATTGTGATGGAAACGCAGCAGAGTGCAGTGATGACAGCGCGGTGCAGGCCACATTGCAAGGCCTGGCGGGACGGATTTGGCCCGCGGGCCTTGTGTTTGACACATGTGCTCTACATCAAAGGCGAGGCCTGTAGTTTACACACGTTCAGCAAACACCAGGGAGCTCACTGGGCCACACAGGGAGGACGGCTCTCGGACTGTGAAAGCCATGCCTCCCACACAGCTTACACCCTCCCCGTCGGAGGGCCACGCGCACGCCAGAGTGCTGCAAGTGCTTGCTGTGAAGAAACATGCCTGCTTTAACTCAGCATTCCTGAAAGGTGACTACAAAGACTTTTTAAAAATTTTAGCATAACCATTAAACATTAAATGGTGTTCTAAATTTTGGGAAATGTTGATCTTGTTCTTTTTAAAAATATGTTTAAAAAATTTACTGATTTGAGAGAGAGAAGGGGGCATGGGAGTGGGTGTGACAGGACACCCATTTGTTGTTCCAGCCATCGTGCATTCATGGGTTGATTCTTGTAGGTGCCCTGATCAGAGATTGAACCCGAAACCTTGGTATATTAGAATGATGCCCCATCTGAGCTACCTGGCCAGGGCATAAAATATGTTTTAAACAAATGTTTTGTAATTGAATTTATTGGGGTGACATTGGTTCATGAAATCATGTAGGTTTCAGGTGTACAATTCTGTAATACATCATCTGTGTGTTCACTACCCCGAAGTCAGACATTTTCTTTTTAATATTTGAGTGGACTGAAGTCTAGGAAGGCGTGTTCAAGATGCTTAACTGTTGACACAGACCTTGAATTTGGGCCTGGACCTGCCCCTTCCTGCTCTCTGTCCATTCCTCCCACCACACTCTGCCTCTGTCTCTGAGTCTGAGGCTCCCCTGGGATAGAACTCAGGAGGAACCCTCGGGGTAGCTGACGGGTGACAGGAGATCGGAGCAGGGACCACAGGGGCTGGGATTAGCCTGTTTGGATGGGAGAAGCAGCAGGAGGGGGTCGCCCCCTTCGAGGATGTCTGCACGGGCCCAGTTGGAGGTGGAGGGGGTCTTTTCCCAGCCCTTCTCCTCCCAAGCTGGCAGTCACCCGGGGAGACTGGGGGCAGCTGAGTGCAGCTGGGGCTGGTCAGTGGCGGCAAAGCTCATCTTGCCTTTTCTTTTCTCCTCCAGCTCAAAACAGGCACGTGTAGCCCTTAACTGACGTGCTAGCAGGGGCAGCCCTAACAGGAGGAAAACTGATTTATTGCTTTATAAAAAGGAGTCTTGATAAAACTTAAAACAACAAACAAAAACTAGAAACCTAAAAATCCACCACCCCCCCTCGCTGCGCCCAGGAAGTCCCAGACACAGCTCTGGGGCACGTCCCGGTGGGTGGGAGGATGGGTAAATCAGGCCGGCTGGCAGAGGAGAGGGAGGACTCCCCATAAACAGCTCAGGGCCCCGGAGGAGTCTGCCAGCAGGGGGCGCCGTGGCTCCACAGCCGCCCACAAGCTCCCAGATGAGCCAGGCTGGCTCCTGGGCGCTGAGCCTGCTGCAGGCCTGCCTGGCTCCTGGGCGGCTCTGGGAGAATAACCAGATACCCAGAGCCCACACCCTACCACCCCTCTCTCACACAGCTCACATGTACACACTCACACACACAAACCCCTGGGCCCCTCACTGCCTACCGCCCCACCAGGCCTGCCCTCCGGTCTATCGGCCACAGCCTCACTCCACCCCCACAGAAGAGCTGAGTGCTGGTGCCCCTTTAATTCCCTTCAGGCCACAGGCTGGATGGCGGGTGGCAGCACAAACTCGCTCTCCACGTAGATGCCGAGGTCCTTTGTCCCCGGCTCCGAGCCTCGAGTCCCCCCCCCCCCCCCACCGCGCCCCTCCCAGGCTCTCAGCCAGGGGTCCTCTCCACAGGCCGCACACGGGAGGACAGGCCCGGCCTGGCCACGGGGGCTGGGACCACAAAGGCGTTAGCACCACAACAGGAAGCGGGTCCTTCCTTCCTCAGGCAGCCTCAGACTGACCAGGGGAGGAGACGAGGGGCCGGGCGAGGGGGTGCGGACAGTGCAGGCCTTTGTCCTCGGGCAGGCGTGGCGGGAGGGCATGCAGCGGAGAGGCAGGTGGTAGGCAGTGAACAGCAGATCCCTCTGCTTTGGCGAGAGGCAGAATCCAGATGCAGGAGGGCGAGGGCCTGACTGCCAGGGGTCCTCCTGGCTCCTCCTGCAGGTACCAGGGCCCCTCCCAGGTGGCAGAGCAGAGCCCGGGGCACCCTCTTCCAATGGCAGGGAAACCCCCGCGGGCCCAGGCCCTCCCTGTCCTTCCACAGCAGAGCCCTGAGGCAGGGCCGGGGCCCGGGAGGGCGCACGGACTCCAGCGTGGAGGAAGGTTCCGGGGGGCATGGCGTCCTCTGGGGTGGGGGGAGGACACTGTGAGTCTCGGACAGGGGCAGGAGGCCACAGTTCTGAGGTGGTGGGCGCTACACGAAAGCCTCCTGGTTGGACGAGCCGTTGAGCTTGAGGAAAAGCTTGTCGTCTTCCCTCTTCTGCTGCAGCTGCCTCTCCAGCTGGCGCCGGTAGCAGATGAGGTAGAGGGGGAGGCAGAACCCCAGCAGGCTCATGACCAGCAGCCCCACGTTCACCTGGGGCGGCAGGGATGGAAGCTACCATCACACGGGGCAGGGGGCCAGGTGGGGGCTGTCCGATCCGAGACCCTCCTTCACACTCGAGTTTGGGGCAGGGGAGAAAGTCCCAGGACAGGAGCGGAAAAACAAGCTGGAATGTCCCAGAGGCTGGAGGGCCACATTCCAGCACCAGCATTCCCTCCCTCCGGGCCTGCCCTCTGCCTCCCGGCACCCGTAGCCCTGACCTCAAACCTACTCATCTGAACCTCCCGGGGCTGGCGCAGGGACAGCAGCTAGATTCTCCTTATCTCACATCGGGTCCAGAAAGGGCCCTTTTCCCCTCCTGGCCAACCGCCAGGCACAAGGGCGCTCTGATTCCATCTGAGCCAAAGTCCCCAAACTTCTTGTCTCTGGGGCTCTGGCAGCCCCGGAGCAATGCCTCTCAGCTCAGCCCAGCAGAGCGAGCCAGGAGCCTGTCACCCGCTGCCCCTGCCCTTCTTACCCACAGAGGGTCTCCCTGGAGGGGGCCCATCATGGCCAGGAACAGCGGCTGCTGCAGGAGAGCGAAGAGCGCGCTGACCAGGGACTGCAGTCCCGTGAGGCTGCCAAACTGGGTGGAGGGGTACCTGCAGGGCGACAGACAACCCGTCACCGGAAGGCACTCCCAGGCTCTCCAAACGCCCTGGTCTCGGCCTGGCCCCGGGGGCGCTGGTGCCAGAGAAGAGGCAGGATGAGCCTCAGAGAATGACGGGCAACTAACTGCCTTCAGATTACGTTCCGCTCAGCAGCTGTGCAAAGTGAAATTCCCTTTTGCACCAACCTAAGGCCCTAGACCAGGGGTCTTCAAACTTCTCTCATTATGAGAATCACCTGGTGGAGTTGTTAAAACACAGATTCCCGGATCCCAACTATAAGAAGTGCTATCAGGAATCTGTGTTTTAACACCTCCACCAGGTGATTCTCATAATGAGAGAAGTTTGAAGACCCCTGCACCCTGGGGAGGACCCACCCTGCCCAGGTGTGCCCGGGCCTGTGGGTGCCTGGCTGAGCTGAGTGGCGAGTGTGGTGCCAGCGGGAGCTTGGGAAACAGGCCGAGGGAGCAGGACGGAGGCCGGGCCGGGCTCTGCAGTGCCCTCATCTAGAGGGGTGTTGTGTAATCACGGAAATGTGGCATCAGAGCTCTTGGCGACTGCCTCAGACCCTGCCAGGCAGCCGCAGCTTCCTCCAGGCTTGGTGGGTGGGGGACCTGGTGTGACCCCCATGCAATGTATTGGGAGGGGGAGAGAGTTCTAGCAAGCTCTTAGCAAACATCAGGCCTTGGGGCCCAGCGGTGGAAGGGGCTCCGAGTGGGGAACAATTTCATCTCTGGTCAGAGAGAGACAGTGGGTGGCGTTCAGGTTCCGGTTTTTGAAACCAGCCCCGGCCCGAGGAGGAAGAAAGCTGTGGTTCCTTGTGCGTGGGGGCCTCTCGGGACAAGAGGCAGGTTTCGTTGTAGCCACGCCCCGAGAAGGCTGTGGGTAGGAGGCCAGCCCGGTGAGATTCTGGGTGAGAATGTCTGATATGTTCTGGGCTCAGCGATCCACGTCCCTGCTCCTGCTGAGGGTCATTTGAACGTCAATACGGAGCCTGGGGCAGCCGGAACCCACCCCGGCCTTCCCATGAGCAACCAGAGGCAGCCAACTCGGTGGAGCAGCGGCCCCCGGGGCACCATGAGCTGCACAGAGGTACTGCCTGGCTGAGGACTGACTTCGTGCTAAATGCCAAGGCTAGCGGGCATCCAACTGTTTGCCCACTGACCCACCTCCCGCCAAGTCTGGCCTTCCCCTGACACACCCAACAAAGCCCTGGTACCTGTCCCCGATGCAAGAAAATGAACCCTGAAAAGGCAGGCTGCCCCCCCTCAGGCCCGTGGTCCCACCACAAACGCCCATAAGCCCCTCCCTCACCCTGTCACCAGGCCACCGCAGATCCCAGGACTTACACGGCGGCGTACAGGCCCCCAATGGCAGAGTGGATGAATCCCCGCACAATTGTGTGCAGGATGAAGGAGAGGATCTGAGGGAGGGAGAACAGAGTGAGCAGGAGACGGTGCGGACCCTCACCCTGTGCCCCTACCAGTTCCTGGTCCTGAGCAACGGGGGCGCTGGCAGCCTAGCGTTGGCTCTGCAGGGCCAATTCCCGAATCTTTAGAATTCTTCAAGGCAGTTGTTAAACACAGTCATTATGGAAACTGACATTTTACAAACTTACAATTAAACAAATTATATTAAAGACACAGGTAATGAATACCCAAAACTTACCACTTTCTAATTATTTTGCTGTGTTACTATGATCTATGTTCTCAAGGTTTTTGTATGGTGGAAGGAAATACCACAGGATGGTGGGATACTGTGATTCTCTTACTAACCCCACAAGGGGTGATGTCATACTGGTTGAAAAATCAGCCTCGATGAGAGCAGTTACACCATGGAAATTGGCAAATTGGTAAAAGTCCCTGTACCCTGCCACAGCCCCATCAAGGGTCTGTTGTGAAATGTGTATCCGTAGCACTAAACAGGAGGTCACGAGTCACGACTGGATCCTGCTATTGCTGACCAAGGACTGTGGCGAGGTCTCCCTGCGGGCCCCCCCACCCCCCGTGCCGCGCCGAGGAAAGCTCTGCCGGTGAGAGGCACTGCTGGCAGGCTTTGCGAGTTCTGAGAAGCACTGGCTAGCGGTGCAGAGGCACAGGATTTGTCCACGTGGCCACCAGGACCCTGTTTGCTCTTCAGACAAAGGCCTGCCCTCCTCCTCAGCAGCCAGGACCTGTCCCTGGGACCGTGGGCAGTGGAGGGGGCAGAGGCTACTCCCTGCTCAAAGCCGGGGCTGTGCCCCAATGGACAGGCCCATACCTGGGCGGGCTCCCCCTTTCCACTTCAACTGCCCAGTTGCTTTTTCATAACTTTTCTTCCAATGAGAACTCAAAAAAATAAAAATAAAAATAGACTGTCCCCACTAGGCACTGCCCCTCAACTGGACAGGTGGCCAGGGTCTGCCAGTGCTGCAGAGAGGGCAGCCACCAGCGGGCCAGGGGGGCACTGGGGAGGGAACAGCATCCCACCTGGAACTGGTGCAAGTTTCCAGTGGTTTACTCTGATCGGCAAGCCCCGGGGTCAGCAGTCACGTGACAGTGCCCCTGGGCGGTGCACACCTGGTATTCAGGGTTCCTCAACACATGGCCACTTGTGAAAAGGAAGGGACTCTTGCTTTCATCTTGGACCAGGCTCACGATAACATCTGACCTCGGGCCACACCCACCTGGGAGCGAGGCCATCACTCAAGTCCCTTCAAAGTCCCTAATCTTGGGGGTTGGGGCCGGTACATGTTCATGGACCTACGGGTGGAGTCAGGGGGATGGTAATCTCTGCCAAATGTTAGGTTTCGAAAGCATCAGAAATCTGTGGAACGAAATTAAGCTTTTGAACCCAGATGCCAATCTTTTTCCACTCTCTGCAGTGGAGAGGCCTTGTAAGCATTCTTGTGTCTGAGGGACAGATGTTCCCACCAACACCAGATTAGCCAGACCTCAGATTTCAGTGGTTGAGCGATGCAAACTAAGTAGCTACACAACTACCCAGCACAGTTCTGGAAAATGGTATGCACAAAGCCTGGCAGGTAAGAGGCTCTTGGTATAAACAGCAGGGGACTGGTGAGTTGGTTGAATTAAATGAATGAAAAGCCACCATTTTCTTTGTCCCCTTTTAGTCTTGCACTTTTTAGTCTCATTGTACCCTTACCCCACCGGACCTCTCCCTTTCCCCATACCCACCTGTAGAGGCAGGTTAGGAATGAGACACGTCACCCCAAAGCCCACAAGCAGCACGTTGGTGAAGGCAAAGGCCCGCATGGCGTTGGTGACCTTCTGGATCTGCCGGTCTCGCTTCTTCTTCGTCTCGCCTCTGCAGACACAGAGTACACACTGGAGGAGGGTGGCCCCAGGAGTCCCAGCTTGTAGACAGCTCAAGACTCAGGCCACCCACACACTTTAGGGACCATTGGAGCTAGACCTCCTGCACTAGGGACACTCCCACTGCACCCCTTTGACTGAGCGCTGAGCATGACTCTCAGGGGACAGGTCAGAGATGAAAGGTATGACATCAACACCCTGCTCGGCTTCAGTGAAGACTGAGCTCAAATGATGAGGAGGGAAGGAGCAGAGTGTGCCCACGTTAGGACGAGGCAAAGCCTCGCTTCGTCATTGGCTTCAACGTCCCCCAAATCCTGCGGGAGCTGACGGTAAGGCAGGTAACAAGTCCAATGGGAAGGGAGTGGCTTTCCCCTTGGGCGAGCAGGAGGTAGTGACACAGAAACAAATGGGCAGCAGATGGAACTGGAATGGGCACAAACCACCTCTTGGCGGTAGGACCTGACCTAGATAACAAAGCCTTCTCTGTAATTACTTCCTTGTGGATCCACCAGCACCGATTCTGTCTCACCACCCACAGAAGCCCTGTGGACAGCTGTGTGGCTCCAAGGAGGAATGCCAGGTGCTGGGGGATGCGTAGGGATTCTCAGGCCCACCGCTTCCTCGGACACGTTATTCAAACTCCTAGCTTCCAGTCCCCCATCTGTAAAACGGGTGTCACACCAGCACACACCTCCTCGAGGTGCTGTGAGGCTTAACTGAGATGGTGCATGAAGTGCTTGGGACAGGGCCTGAGACAATAAACAACAGCTTATTATACGAAGGTGGAGTCACAGAAGACAGCACTTAACTCATCCTCTGATCTTAGGGCCCAACCCTTACCTAAGGTAAGGCTCCGGTGCCTTATTGAAGGCTCGTGATCATGAACAAATCTATTAACACCTATTACAGTTACGGTGACTTACTGTTCTCGCAATGGCCTGAGCCTCTAGGCAAGGCAGCACTGAGTTAGGGCCCTTCACCCGCTGTGCTTCTCATGCTGAGCATCTGAGTGTGGTTCTAAAAGCAGAATGGTTTGACTGCACACTGACCTTCCTCTTGTGTCTCCTCTTCTTTTATCTAACTCAGTGCTCCCCAATCCGCAGCCTACCATGAAGAAGCCACAGCCCTGACTGTGTGCTGAGCTGAGCAAGCGAGTGTCTTAAAGCCCCGGGGAGAGTAGCCTCGGGCACCTCTCGCGCCTCTCCTGCTTGCTACAACCTGCCCACCACACACACCTGTCCCTGCCTAACATCTGGGGGGGGGAGGGGGAGAGGAGACACGCTTCTTTCTCTGGGGCCAAGAGCCAGGCCTGGGTGCTGCCTACGCACTGGTTGGCGTCTTTCTCCTCGGGCTCATCTGTGGCATCTTCACACTCCTTCATCCTCCAGTCCATGATGTAGCCGATGATGGGGGCCGTCAGCAGGCAGAGGAGCTGGAGCACACCGAAAATGGAGGTATAGAGGCTCACTGGGGAGGAAGAAGGCTGTGTCACGGGGGGTTCCTGACCGAGGCCGGGCGCGGGCACCGGGCAAAGCCCGAGACCCCACAGGTCATCCCCAGACCCCCCTCATGTCACTGCGGATCTGGAGGGGGGCCAAGACCTTAACCTCCGAGGTCAGAGCTGGCACGGGGGTAGGCACCCTATTCTAAGGTGACCAGACGTCCCGATTTTTAACAATTTGTCCCGCAGAGTTTTAAAAACAGTCCCGAGTTTTGGAAAGAAGATTTTTTTTTTTGATGTATAAAAAGCTTTATTTTACAAATCAATTTAGACAAACCAAGGATGCCAATAGGAAAATGGCCAAAGAACAAACCAGACTGTGCATAAAGAAAAAAATATAATAATGTTCAAACTCATCAAAATCGAACACATGCTACTTTTTTTAACCTATAATTATTAGAAAACTTTTTTACTTTTTAATGCTCAAATGTGATAAGAACACAGTGATACAGAACTCTTATATTATCGGTAAGAGTATTATTTAGTATGAATGTTCAAGAAATAATCTGGCAGTATGTATCAAAAACCTTAAAAGTGTTCATACCCTTTGAATTCTACTTTTTTTTAATAAACCTTTATTATTCATATTATTACAAAAGTTCCTCATTTTGGAAAGAAGATTTTTAACAATTTGTCCCGAGTCCCGCGGCTAAACAGGCAAATTGTTAAAAATCGGGACTGTCCCACCAAAAGCGGGATGTCTAGTCACCTTACCCTATTCTGTTCTCCAAATCCCCTGCTTATTCCCAAGAAGCAGCAAGGGAAATCCAGTGTCACAATGGCTCCGCCAGGCGCTGCGGGACGTCTCTGACTTGGGAGCCACAAAATGACAAAGCCTGTCCGGAGGCTTGTATAAGACTGGCCATTACTCCGCTGCCTTAGAAACACACCAGGAGCGTGTCACTCACAGGGATCCCACGTAAGGGCTTTCATCCTCAAAGAGCTCAAAATCAAAATGGGATTTTGGTTTTTTTTTGGGGTGGGGGGGCAAATGGAAACTGAAAGTTGGCTACCTCAGCCCACCCACCCCACCCACAGCTCTGCCCGAGAGGAATGTTTGCATTCAAAGGAAGGCCTTTCTCCACTGAGCAGAGACTGGCTGGGGGGGATGTTGCAATGCTCCCCGACAGTCCCCACTGCTTACCGGCAGCCATCACTGCATCAAGAGAGCAAAGTGAAAAGGCAGAAAGGAGCAGTTAGCAGCGGAAATCTCAGGGATTGTTACAGGGAGACGGGCAAGGAGGCTGGCTAGCTCTGGGCCCGGCATACAAGTCATTTCCCCCCTCGACCTGCCTCTCAGAGCACCCATGGGTGGCTGGGCTGGAGCCAGGCTTTCAGGAGAGGAGGTGGGAGGGGGCCCAGCGCGGGCGCCTGCTGACCTCTTGTCTGCCGGGGTCTCAGTCATGTGCAGTCGGGCCCAGTCACGGGCGGGGCTGGTGAATCAGGCCTGTGGTTTCCCAGGGACCATGATGGGAAGTAGTGTGGGTGCAAAAGGCTGGGCAGAACGCACTGTCGCGTGGCCCTCTGGGAACACTGCTCTGTCACAGCTGTGCTCCGAGGGCACGAGAGGTCAGACACGGCATCCCAACCCCCAGCAAAGCATCTGGCACCACGGGTCTCCCCGGACACCAGGGCTGGTCTCCTGTCCACCCAGCGGCCCCCTGACCCCGAGGCACAGTCCGGGTTGTGGGGGTCATGCATAACAGCTCCCGGGAGCAGGATGGGGAAAACTGATGCCCTGTCAGCTGCAGATGGTATTTCCTGGCCCCACTTCCTCTCCTTCGTGAAACGGACTTTCTGAGTGTGGGAAACAGTGAAAAAAGAGCAGCAAAGGATTCCTCAGAGAACTTGAGTAAAAAGCCATGGCTCAGCAGCAGGCAGCTTTGCCTTCTCAGGGCCAGGGAGGACCCCTCGCTGGACCCCCTGGGGTCTCCACCTCCCTGGGCCTGAGACTGTTAAATAGAGGGTGTTGAGACATGACAGATCAGCTTTCCCCGAAGCTCAGTCCACAGATTTTAACGAGAGTTACACAATGAAACCGCTCCTGCGGTAGAAATAAGGGGGACGTCACTAGACTCAACAAAGCCAAGTAAGTCATTTTTTTCCTGTAAAAAGCAGGGCCTTCCCTATGTCAGCATTCATCATGAAATGTGCAAGGGCACGTGACAGCGCTCCTCCACGGGCCCTGTGCACAGTGGAACCAGTGTTATCTGGCGCCCGCGTCATCTTCCCCATCGCGCCGGCTGGGTCCCTTCCACAAACTGCATTTGTATTTGATTCCTTACACACACACACACACACACACACACACACACACACACCTCCGCCCGAAAACAATTACACTAACCAAACGCTGTCAATAAAGAAGCATTTACCGAAGGTGTTTGTCCCGCTCGGGGTGACTAACGCTGACTCAGCGAGGCCCTGAGGAAGTACTGACTTTCCTTGTAGAACCAAAACCTCTAATCTGCTCCAGCCCTCGGTGCTGTTTTGGGAAAGTGGTGTGCGGGTTATCAGTTTTGTTTACCAGCCGGAGCAAGTCTGGACTGGATCGCACATGTGAGGAAGCTCCACTCGGCTCCGCTGCCAGCCGGGGGGCGCTGATCCCAGTGCCGGCCGCCGTGCCCCAGTCTCCAGCCGAGCCGGCCTGAGTCCCACTGCCCCCACCCCCACCCCGCCCCAACGCTGCGGTCTCCCAGGGGATTCTGGCCTTGGGCTGGCTTGGCTGCCTGTCAGCGGGTTCTCAGGTAGAGTGCTCAGTTCCCAGTAATGTTTTCATTCACAGACACGCCAACCTGCTCCTCAGGCAATGAAAACATACACCTCCCTCCCCAGATGCACACAGTTATTCTAGTCCTCCCTTCCTCCTGAACCGGGAATCCCTAATGGGACTGCGATGAAACGGCCCTGACCAGCGGGGTCACTCGGACGCTGCCATTTCCCAGCCCCGCCGGCGGGCGGCGGGCTCGACCTCAGGCGGCAGGAGTGACCACCAGTGGGGGAGGGGACCCTCTTACGGGGCGGTGCTCCGAGGCCCAGGGCCGCCCACCTTTGTCCTGGTCCCCGCTGACCAGGAACTTGAGGATGCTGTTCATGGCGCCCATGTAGAAGATGAGCCGCAGCTGCGTGACGCACATGGTGACCAGGCTGAGCAGCAGGATGGGGCTGAAGATGCTGTGCATGAAGGAGGGCGCCGCTGCGGGGAGAGGGCACGGGGTTCAGGGACAGCCGGGCCCCGACCTCCACGGCCCACAGCCCACCTGGCGTTCAGGGGCCCGTGTGGGGAGGGGAGGCCGGTTCGCTGACCAAACCATTCCCTGCTGGCTGGGAGGAGGGGCCCGGTGAGGTTAAAGGGGGCGGGGGGGTCCCAGAGTGGGGTCACCCAGCTGTGTAAAACAAGTCCCGCATCCTCTCTGAGTATGTGAATGAAATGGATTAGTGACTGGTATTTGTCATCTGAACCCCGGGGTGGATGGTGCTGGCCGCCCTTTTGGGATGAAGTGGCGATTAAGTGAGATGAGACCCACAAAGTCCTCAGACGGTGCTGGCCCCCTGCGGCCAGGGCTTCCAGATCCGGATTGGCCCCCCTCCCTGTGCTGGGGGTGTGGGTGTGGGTGTGGGTGTGAGTGTGGGTGTGGGTGTGGGTGTGGGTGTGAGGCGGGTGTGGGTGTGGGTGTGGGTGTGGGTGTGAGGCGGGTGTGGGTGTGGGTGTGGGTGTGGGTGTGGGGTGTGGGTGTGGGTGTAGGTGTGGGTGTGAGGCAGGTGTGGGTGTGGGTGTGAGGCGGGTGTGGGTGAGTGCAGGTGTCCCTGCTAACGGGTCAGGAAGGCGAGGCCCCGGCGGTACCTGCAGCATCGGGCTTGCACTTGACCTCCAGGTCCACGGTGGACAGGCAGAGCTTGTGGCCCTCCTGCAGGGCCGCCTGCTCCTTGTGGCTCCGCATGGAGCTGCCCACGCTCAGGCGGCGCCCCACGGTCGTCACCTGCTTGTAGAACTGCTTCCCTGTGATCTTGTGGTCGAAGCCCAGCCAGCTGAACTTGATCTTCACCCTGGACGCCACAGGAAGTGCCCGTCAGTGCCGCCCGGGGCCCTGACTGGGGCGGGGCTGGGGACGGACGGCATGCCACTTACGTGTAGTCCATGTCCTCTGGCCCCGGGAAGGGCTCCAGAGGCCAGTTAAAGAAGCAGTTGAGGAAAACCAGGCCGGAGCAGCCGGCCCAGACCACGAGGATGATGATGAAGGAGACACCAAAGTCGTAGATGACCTGAAAGGCACGGCGGGCGGGGGCGGGGCCCGGGGCAGAGTTAGCACCAGAGGCCAAGTGGGTAGCAGGCAGGATCACCTGTGCTGAGCTGCGTGAGGAGGCCCAGCCCAGTCCACCTGGGCGACTGGTCATCAGATTCTGCATCCCGAGTACCCCAGCTCACCCTGGCATGTCCTGAACCTTGGACAGATGTCCCTTCCTAGGAGAAGCCTTCCCTGACACCTCCGTCCCCCCCATCACGGACACTGGCTCCCAGTGAGCAGCCCTGGCTGAGAAAACCAATGTCTCAGTTAATGTACTCGCCCAGTGTCAGGGCAGCCCGAGGACAGGAGCCCGTTAGCCTTGTCCGCAGTTGTGTCTCCAGCATCTCCAAGGGCACGTGACAGTGTGAGAAATACCCGGGGGACGGACAGGTGGCTGTCTCGCCTTCCTCCTCGGAGAGGAGGGTGTACGACCGTCACCTGTCCTTGTGGTATTGCGGTGGGGGAGGCGGGAGTGACCCCCCTAGAGTGGCAGGGGGGAGCCTGCCGAGCACAGCATCTCAGCTGTAGCTGTCATGACTGCGAATTATTCCCAGAGCCCGAGTCCCCGGAGTCCTGGCTCCCCAGGGCGGGACAGGCAGCAGCTCAGCACCGAGGCGGGAGGACGAGGCACAGGCAGGCTTCTCTGTACTCCGGAGTGAGACTCCCTAAAAGCCACAGGGCGGCTGGCCCCAGGCCCTCCACGCACTTGGATTCCCGGGAGACCAGCCCACAGCTGCGCCTTCTCCTCCTCCATGGCCCCCGCACCGCAGGGAACGGGACTGCCGGGTGCCGGGTGCCGGCGCCAGAGCAGGGAAAAGCCCCCTCCGGAGCCCCGGTGGGAGCGACAGGATCTGGAGGAGGAACCGGGGCTGACGGCCCGGGAGGTGCTGGCTTCCCCCTGACCCTGTGTGACTCCAGGCTCAGAATCCTGCCGGGGAGGGAAACAGCTGAACCAACTTGGCCCAGAGCAGCGCTCTGGCTAACTGCGAGGAGCAGCCCAACAACAACAGGCCTGGGGGTGGGGAGACGGGAGCTGGACTGGGGATCGGGGACAGACTCACCCAGCCCCTTTCTGCCCCCCCCACCCCCCCCCACCCCCCACCCAGAAATGCCAGGCAGCCTGTGGGGACGGCCTGTGGGGACATGCTTTCATTTTCCGTCCCCCAGGCCAAGTGCGGCTCTTTCCTGGCTCCCAGGTGCATCCTCCCAGGTGCGGGTGGCGGGGAGGGGCCGGCCTCCGCACCCGCAAGCATTGCTCTCCTCAGAGAGGGCTGGGGGAGCGTGGAGAGAAGCCTCTGTTCAGACTCTAACACAGAATAAATGCGCTGGGAACCAGCTGGCCACACCCTCACCTTGATTCCCGGGAAGGTGACTGCTGAGGAGGCATAGGATCCAATCATCAAGGCAATAAACGTGGAGCGAAGGTCGCCGAACATGTTGGGCAGCTGTGAGACAAGAGGCAAGGGCAAGTTCAGCGGCGAGAGGGGTGAAGGAGGGATGAAGGAGGGGGGGAGAGGATCAAGGCTCAGCAGGCACTTTTCCTTATCTGCTCTCCACCCTGGATTCACAGCCTTAGTCCAGGTAATGACTACGAACGGGAGGTTTTTCCTTCCCAGCCTGAGGTTGATGAGGGCAGAGGAGGAGCGCAATGCCAGATTCGGATCCCAGATGTGAGGACAGAGCCGTTGGGACTTCCTGGTTGGCAACTGTCCCTCCTCAATGCTTCCACAGCCCAGGGGCCTTCTCGTCTTTACAGGAAGACACTGAGATGCGAGCGAGCCAAGCTGGGAGACAGGCATCCCTCAGAGGGGGCAAGTCAGTTAAAAATAAGAATCTATTTGGGGACAAGAGTGTCATTCTTATAAATAAAAATATCAAGTCCCAGAAGGACCAGATGTCAGCAAAAGCTGCTTTCAGTTCTGAGAGAGTATATCTCTGGAAGGTGTCAATCAAAATTCTGCAGTTCCCTCCGCGCCGACAAGGGCACCAGCCTGGGACAATTTCTGCTTCGGAATTTCTAAGTGCAAAGACGGCCCCAGAAATCATCACCTGAGAAGGCCGGTGGCTAAACACGCTGGGGCTCTCCTCGAAGGGAGGCCACTCTTGCATCGCACGTAACTTTATTCTGGGCTCATTCGACATAACTTCAAAGCTGGAACCCTCAGCGATTCCACACAAACCCAGGCATGTAACATAGGGCACTGCAGCCACGGATTCAGACCTGAGGCAAAGCACCCCCCGCCCCAAATAAAACAGCCAGTCACCGCTTCTCTCCAGAACCTCGAGGAGGTTCCGCCCACTGTGCCTCGCAGAGGACTCCTCTCTGGACGCTAAGCCAGCCTATTTCATACTGTGTATATGTCCCCCTTCCTCACTTGTTTGCCATCATCTGGGGGTTTTACTAAACACGATGGCTTGCAAGCTGACCCACTGGTGCTGAACACAAGCAGTTTGAACTTGGCCTCACATCCTTTCTGCCCATGTTACCCACAATTAAAATGAATAGAGCCCATACCAAATCATCATGTTTTATACAATACAATGCTGTATGTGACTGTGTCTCAGTGAATCAGGGAAAAAACAAGGGACATCATCTACAGTAAAACCTTTGTGCTTCATATCTATTATGATCCTGTTCCTAACCTGAATTTCTGTTGAAAAATGTTAATACAGATCTGGTTTCTGAGACAGACCATTATAAGGACAATAGCATTTTTGAAAATAAGTTTGTGTTTTGTTTAGGCGTGTGTGTTTTTTTAATTGATTTCAGAGAGGAAGGAAGAAGGAGAGATAGAAACATAAATGGTGAGAGAACCATTGATTGGCTGCCTCATGCACACCCCCACTGGGGATGGAGCCCACAACCCAGGCATGTGCCCTGACCAGGAACCGAACCTTGACCTCCTGGTTCATAGGTCCACGCTCAACCACTGAGCCACGCCAGTTGGGCTGAAAATAAGTTTTAAATAAATTCTGATGTTGGGAAAAAAAAAACAAAAACTAAAAACTAAGAACTTTTGTGCTTTAAAGGTACATCAAGATTTGAAAAAACAATGCACAGAAGAGAAAATTTTTACGACTCACGTCTCTGATAAGGGACTTGTATCTAGAAAATATAAAGAACTCCTACAACTCAATAATAATAAAAAAATAACCTATTTTTAAAATGGGCAAAAGATAGGAATAGACATTTCTCAAAAAAAAAAAAAAAACCCCACAAAAAAACAAATGGAGATATACTCAATGTCATCAATCATAGGGGGAATAAGAATCCAAACCACAACAAGATATTAATTCATGTCCTCTAGGTAGCTACAATAAAAAGAAATTAGCTGATAATAATGGAGATATAGAGGAACCGGCCCTCACCCTGCTGGTGGAAATGTAGACTGGTGCGGCCACTTTGGATAATAGTCTGGCAGTACCTCCAACAGTTAAACAGAGTTACCGTATGACCCAGTCATTTCACTCCTAGGTAGACATCCAAGAGAAATTAAACAATACCCACACAGAAACTTGTACAGGAATGCCTTTAGCAGCCTTATTCATAATATCCCCAAAGTGGAAACGATATCAATGTCCATCAATGAATGAATGGGTAAACAAAATGTGGTATATCCACACAAGAGCGTATTAGCCAGCCACAAAAAGAAATGAAGTACTGACTCATAGAACAACATGGATGAACCCTACGAAAACACGTGAGGTGAAAGAAGCCAGTCACAAAAGACCACCTGTTGTATGACTGCGTTCACATGAAAAGTCCAGGCGAGGCACATCCACAGACAGAGAATAGCTCAGTGGTTGCCGAGGGCTGGAGTAGAGGAAGCTGGGAGGAAACAGGGAGGAAACGCTAATGGACACAGGGTTTCCATGTGGGGCGCTATAATTAATTATGCTGACAACTACACAACTGTGAATGTAATGAAGACCAGTGAATTGTACACTTTAGGTGAATTACGTGGCATATGAATTATGTCTCAATCACTGTTAAAAACAAACGAACATGAATAAGGAATTCAAATGTTTTGGATCCCAGAATTAAAAAGAAACACCAGCCCTGGTGGGTGTGGTGCTCGGTTGGTTGGGCGTCGGAAAGGTTGCTGGTTCAATTCCCAGTCCGGGTGCGTGCCCAGGTTGCGGACTTGATTCCCCTGTAGGGAGTGTGCAGGAGGCAACTGGTCGATGTTTCTCTTTCACATCAATGTTTCTCTCCCTCTCTCTCCCTTTCCCTTCTTCTCTAAAAGTCAATAAAAAGTCTTAAAAGAAAAGAAAGGAACATGAATCAGTCTAGGGCAGATGGTATGAGGCCCAGTAGGCTGTGCAGGCTCCCCAAAGAACTCCCAGCCCACAAAGAGCTCTTCTTCCCGCCCCGCAGTGGGTCCTCTGACCACCGGGCTTGTCAGGGAGGGGCAGAGAGCACCGGGGGCGGTGGAAATCCCCCAACAGGAGGCAGAGCATGCGATGTGCTCATGTGTGCCCAGGCACACCCAGGTGAGCACCGGGGCACCCATCTTACGCTGTGCACACGTGCTCCCAGGTATGCTGTGATTCAGAGGCCATGCCTCAGTTCCTGGGCTCACATATTTTGGCTTCTCCATGCTGGCTACTCCAGCAAGGCAGTGTGTAGGGGAGGCATCTCTGGGGCCATACCAGCCCCAGGGAGAGTCCAAAGACTGGTTCTGATTGTTCGGAAGGGGGGAACTGCTCCCACCTGGAATGCCACTCCAGCCAGGGCGGGTGGAGGAAGAAAAGGATTAAAGAGGGCTCAGAATCCACCTGAAGAGTAAATGGAGGATGCGAACAAAGGCTACTTGGTGCCGAGTCAGGCCCGGGAGACATTTTATGCAGTCCCTTTTATGCACAAAGGCTCAAACTTTCAACGGGGCCATGGATACTCCAGAGAAGCAGGCAGACAACCCTTTCTCTTTGTCCTTAAGCTCCAGCTTGTCCTAACCCTAACCCAGGCTAGAGGCCAACAGAACAACAGGGGCTTGGGGCTAATATGCAACTCGGATCTGATCTTCTGGAGTCTTCTCCCAACTAGATCCAGGACAGGGAAGAACAGAAAGCTGGGCAAAGAGCTGCCTTCCCATCTGCCCCTGGGGGAGACCCCCACCCTCATGTCTGGACAAGGACAGTAGCCTTCCAGGTGCCCTGCTTCTCCCAGCCTAGGACACTCTTAGCAACACCAAGAAAATTCTCCCCAACATGTGATGTTGGTCAGCAAGGTCATTACCAGGGGAGCATAGAGTCTCAGGGCAAACCATACCACTCAGTGTTCCCAGCATCAACATCTTGTATTTTAAGCTATGATTTTTTTTCCTGGTTAGAAGGGCAATGCATGCCCACTGTAAAACATTTGGATATACTTTGTTATACATAAAGGATAAAAAAAAAATCACCCTGATATAATCATGTTACCATTTCGGTATATTTCCCTTTAACTTTTTTCCTATAAATTCCTATAACTTTACACCAAAATTGGGATCATGTGCTAAATATTGTTTTATAAACTTTTTCATTTTTGCTGTATTATAAATGTTTTCTAAGTTCATATTCATCTTCAACATAGTTTGAGATAACTTTCTGCATTTCTCTGATGTTGGGCCTAAGGGCCTTTTATTTATTTATTTAAAAATATTTTTATTGATTTCAGAGAGGAAGGGAGAGGGAGAGGGAGAATGAGACAGAAACATCAATGTTAAGAGAGTAATCATTGATCGGCTGCCTTCTGCACACCCAACACTGGGATGAAGCCTGCAACCTGAGCATGTGCCCTGACCAGGAATCAAACCAACACCTCCTGGTTCATAGGTTGATGGCTCAACCATGGAGCCAGGCCAGCCGGGCCCTCAGGGCCTTTTTAATTTTTTAAAAAAATATAATTTATTGATTTTTTACAGAGAGGAGGAGAAAGGGATAGAGAGTTAGAAACATCGATGAGAGAGAATCATCGAATAGCTGCCTCTTGCACACCTCCTACTGGGGATGTGCCTGCAACCACGGTACATGCCCTTGACCGGAATCGAACCTGGGACCCTTCAGTCCACAGGCCGACGCTCTATCCATTGAGCCAAACTGGTTTCGGCTTAATTTTTATCATAAACAACAAATGAACATCCTTAAATGAACATCCTTGGAGATAAATATATGTGTGTATAGTTATTATTTCTTAGATAAAGTCCCAAAAGAGAATCAGTTGTCATACTCTGTGCCAAATTGCCTTCTAGAAAACTTATACCAATCGATCTTCCCACCAGCAGCAGAGGAGAGTATCTGTTTCTCTGTCGCCATTCCAACATTGTTCATTACCATTATTTTTATTTTTAATATTTGCTACTTCACTAATATCCTGCTGTGATAAAATCCATTTACTTGCGTATATGAATGAAATGAATTGGTGACTGATATTTGTTTCAAAGTAATCTGGATGGGTGGGTGG